TGAGGCGCGGCAGCTTCCCGGAGCAGCGCTGCGCAGAGCCGCGCCGAGCCCCGGGACAATGGAGCCGCGGCGGCTGCTGCTTGTCGCCGCCGGCCTCAGTCTTTGCGGGCCCCTGTTGTCTGCCGGCACCCGGGTCCGCAAGCCAGGTGAAAGCTGCCCGGGAATGGGTTGGGCGGGGGGAGGAGGGACGCCGAGGGGGCACTGAATGGATACAGGTTGCGCCGTGTCCTCGAGGGGGTGCCCCTGACCGCACCCCTGCCTCAGTTTCCTCCAGAAGCCAAGCAGACATCAGGCTGAGATCCGCAGTCTCCCCCAGTCACATCTAGGAGGGGCGTGCCCACCCCAGACACCCCCTTGGCGGGCCTGGCCGATGCCCCTTTAGACTCGGTTTTGGAGGGTGCAGCCCGCCTGCCACCGGGTGCTGGGCATGGAGGAGGAGGGGTCGATTCTCTTGGGGGAGCCTGCAGGCCCTCGTTGCATTTGTTGTCTTTGTGTGGCCTGTTTTCCCCAGGACCACCCCCAAAAGAAAGGGTCTCGCGTTGCTCCACAAGTAAACGTCTGGTCCTTTCAGTGTAAAGTGGAAAGCCCCTCCCGCTGAAGTTTTGCTTTGTTGGAATTTCTTTTTTCTTGCACATTTTACAGGCGAGGAAAGTGGTGGCGGGTAAAGCCCAGTCAGTCCGTTGGCACATTTAGCATAGAATCGCACCAGTGGCCCCCTGCCCGGCCGTGTGCCGAAGAGGTGCTCGCTGTGCCCTGTATACGGTGATATATGATGGTAACAGTTCGGTGATATATGATGATAACAGTTATAGCCTCTGGTGGTGGTTGTTGGGAGGCTTTGTTTGTTTGTTACCTAGAACTCATTCCTTCTGTGTGAGTTGAGGGAAGGTACCCCTCCCTAGAACCGGGGTCTCTCAAATGCTTTCCGAACCCAGTATTTCTTAATGAAATTTCTGATCTGCTGCAAGGAGGAGATTGCTCCTCTGAAATACATTTCCCACTAATAGTGGTTTTTGTTTTGTTTGTTTTTTTTTTTTGTCTTTTTCGTGACCGGTAAGGAGATCACAACCCTTGGTGTGGTGTTGCCCGCACCGCGCTCAGCCAGTGAGCACACTGGCCATTCGTATATAGGATCCGAACCCGCGGCGAGGGCGTCGCTGAGCTCCCAGCGCCACACTCTCCCGAATGCGCCACTGGGCCGGCCCTAATAGTGTATTTTTAAGTATCCGGCTACTCAGCCAAAGAAATAAATTTGGCCAATTTATTTGATCAAATGTTTTCTTTCTATTTCCCCCTCTTCCAAGGCAGGGCAGCAAAGGAGTTGTTTTTAGCCTGTAAAGGTACTAATTAGAAAATGAGAAAAATATTTTTTAATTTCTTAATCATGGTATTTCCCCAGTCAGGTAAGAATTTCTGAATAGTCATAGTACTTTATAAGCTTTTATCTATTTTTTTTTTCCATGCAGAAATGAATTCTCGGGGTGTTTCTTGTTGTCAGTGAAAGAAAGTGCTCTCTGTTGCTCCCACACATCAAGATTAAGAGGTGACAAATTCAGAGCATGTCCTCTGCTCTCCATCTTTGTTCGGGCCGAGTTTTGAGGAGATGCTTTTGGATAAACGTAGAGCCCCAGACAGAAGCCCAAAGTTTAGGAGCAGCTAGCCAACCTGCCTGTGGATAACACGAGCATCATCTCAAGGGTGTTTGGGAATCGTGGAGAACACCTGAGAGAGTGTGCGTGGTCATAGATGATTTCACATACCATTGTGTAATTTGCTCCATTTTATTTTAGGACAAGCTCTTGAGAATACAAGTTTTGTTTGAGATTTGGGTGGTGGGGTGGAGAATAGGTATATACTAATGCTGCCGCCACTCAGCCTCTCCCCACCACCCCAGGAGGGTTTTCGGCCTTCTTTGGGGAGTGGAGGAAAAGGCTGCTGGTTTCTGCCATGTTTCGTGATTCATGTTAGGGGTGCTATATGCTGAAATAGATAGCACTGGTGTCGACAGAGAGACAACTTAGCAAACATCGGCTAGTTTATCAAACCCGGATTCTGCAACCACTTTGGGAGCAAGAGAAGAAAGTACAATGAGAGAAAAAAAGAAGTGCACGTTAAGTGCCGTTTTCCCTGTCAAGCACTGGGCCAGGAGGCATTTTCACTTAGATTTTCTCATTTCACCCTCTCAAAACATCTTGTTAGGGTGGGTGTGTATCACCTTTCACTGATGCTGAAACTAAGGCCCAGAGACAGGGACGTACCAAATGGGCAAGGGTGTTGGAAGGGCCCACCCACTCCAAGTGCAGGCAATAAGTGGGGCCATGTCTTCGGAGAGCTTAAAATTGCTAATAAAATCGATCAGAAATAGGTCTGGTTTTTATTATCTACAGACACCAGCCATTCTAAGCAATGTCTGCATAAAATACTGGTAACCGGATCACACCCATTATCCAGCAATGCCTTCTGAACCTGGATGTGCCACTGCTGAGAGAGAGAGAGAGAATGAATTGCCCAGGATCACCTCTCTGTGTTAACTCTAGAGGGGCTGTGAAACCCCTCCAGGGCTGGCCCTGCCCACCAATCTGAGCTTTCCCACAGCCCTTTCAGACTTTTTGTTCCTGCTCATTTTGGTATTTCCTGCCTTGTCACTTTGTGGGTATCTCATCTCCTCAGCTAAGATCATAAATTTCTCTTTATCCCCTGGAGTCTAGAACAAATGTTCACTCAGCAGATACTTGTTGAGAAATTGGTAAATTCATTTACCAGTTTGTCCAGGCAATTTAAGTGAGTTGCCGTGTATTCATTAAGGAGTTCTAGTGTCCAAGAGTAAGAAGTGATGTTTATAAATTTATAAGGATCTAGAGGGTGAGAGGATTCAAGGATAGCTTGTGGTGACTGTGGCAGAGCGGGTTGGGTGGGTGCAGAGTGCACTGGGAGCTATCCTCCTACCCGCAGGGTCAAGCCCAATTCGTTAGCACAGAGTAAGGTGCTGGATGGAGTCCCCACCCTCTCTCTAGCACTTCACCCAGCCTCACCCTCTAGTTCCTCCCTCAAGGAGCTCTGCTTTCTTTGGCTTCTGTCCCCATGTCACTCTCTGGCCAGAATGCCTTCGCCGTAGCCCACACATTCACAGTTAATTAAAAATAGCTACCCTACAGGGAACACCTAGTGCAGCTACATTACATATACTATCTTATTTATTCCTCGCAACAGCCCTTTGAGTAGATGTCATCCCTATTTTACAGGTGAGGAAACTAAGACCCAGAATGGTTAAGCCACAAGTCTAGTAAGAAGTGGAACTAGGATATGGCCACAGGCCTGTCTTTCCTAAGTGCAGACTTTCTCAACCAACTCCTATGAGAAGGAGCCATCCAGACTCCCAGCCCCTCTTACAGTGTAGTGGGAATCCTGCTGTTTCCCAGTATTCCTACAGGTCATTCTGTGCCCCACTGGCTTGATAGCCCAGGTTGGCACAGGGAGGTGTTTAGTAAACATTTATGCAAGGACCGACCGTGGTATCCTGCCAGTTACTTTTGCTAACAGATGACAAAGCAGGCTATAAATAGATCCCTACTTATGAATATGCTAATTAATTGGCTGTTACCAAGAGGTGGTGATCTTAAGCCTAAACAGAAAGACCTAAGCAGACCAGAAAGAAAGCTCTATAAAGCCTGAAAGTCAAATTTCTTATGAACCAGCAAGTTAATTTTCTATCCCAGTCTTTATTGGTTTTTAATATTTTTTAGTGGCTTTCCCTTTATTGTTATAGGCCATATTGAGATAGTAGGTTCTCCTAATTTGTCCACCCTTCCTTTGTGTGAGGGAACTTTTTGAGGGTTTCCTGGCCCTTCTCAGGAATATTCTCACGTCGTCGCTGCTGGTTGCCTCTCTGTTCCCTGTCTCCATCTGCCCGCATTCAGCAGCTCTCAGCCCCTTATGTCTAAACACACCAGTGTCTTGTGAACACTAACGGGCACCTTCTCAGCTGCTCTGAATTTGCTTGTTTTCCAAAATGCTTCCAGCCCGTCTCTTTCCCTGTCCCCTTTCTGCCCCTTCCCTCCTCCCTCAGTCATTTCACCTTTGTCCCTGTCACCTTTCACAAACTGGAACTCAGCTGGCCCTTGAGCAGGAGTGTACCCAAGACAATGGAGTCCCCAGGACCCTGCATTTCTAATCTTGCCTCTCTCTTCATTTTGGACACACATCCCTCTTTTTTCCTAGGAACTCCTCTTTCTTCCTTCCTTCCTTCCTTCCTTTATTTTTTTTTTTAATTGAGGTGAAATTGGTATAACATACAGGTAGCCATTTTAAAGTATAAAATTCAGGGCTGGCCGGCTAGCTCAGTTGGTTACAGCATGGTGTTGGTAACACCAAGGTCAGGGGTTCAGATTCCCCAAACTGGCCAGCCGCCAAAAAAAAAAAAAAACAAAAATAAAACAAGTGTAATATTCAGCAGCATTTAGTACATTTACAATGTTGTGCAATCATCACCTCTATCTAGTTCCAAGATGTTGTCATCATTTCAAAAGGATACCCGTTAAGCAATCAGTCCCCTCTCTGCTTTCCTTCCTAGGAACTACCTATTTGCTTTTTATCTCTGTGGATTTACCATTTTATACAAATGGAATCATACAACGTGTGGCCTTTTGTGTCCAGGGAAGTTCCCTCTAACTAGTTTTCATGAGTAACTGTGCTCTCCCTTCCATGGTGGATGGATACTCACACAAACACCCTATTTGTCAGAAGATATATTAGGAACCATGACCTTGGTTTATATTTGATGCTATGATGCTATTGAGGACTCCACAGTTTAAGAATTCAGAATTGTCCGCTTGTTTCCCTATTTTGTGGTTCTTTCATTCTGCCTTTTTCTCTCTCTTGCTTATGCCTAAAACTGTTGGAGTAAATAGCTCTTATCGGCTGAGATTTTTTTTCTGGGTGTGGGCTTCCCCAAATACTCTCTCCCACACTGACCTTGTCATGGTACTTGGAGGAACCCTCCGAAGTTAAGGTTGGTATCCTCCATCACAAGGTACCCAGTGAAGTTTTGTTCACATAAAATGCCCTTATGGGCCTTTATACTCATGTATTCTTTATTTGCTTTCAAAAGAACCGGTCTTTTGAAATGACAGGAATAATCTGAAATTTG